ATAGGCATATGCCTACAATAACAATGATAATTTAGTTCTATAATCTCGTCCCACTTAGTGATAGGAGAAGCATATTGATAGGATCTGTCTTTTTAAATGCATTAATTCTATTTTCAACACTACTTTATGTTCCCCTATTCCATTTTGGATTAATATACTGACTCTCGTCCTAAGGACCTGTTTGCGGTATCTTTCAACAGATTCAACCGTAGTAAAGGTGTCTTAGCCACAGATTAGCGTCTCTATATAATACTCTTGAGCATAAAAATAATTCAATTGACATTTTTAATGGAAGTTTGAATTCATTTAAATTCAGTGTACCATTGCTTTTGAATAAATGACTGGCTTCTTATCTTGGGTGGGTTTCATAAATCTTAATGTTAAATGTTGAAACCTTATTTTAAATGTACTGTTTTTTTTATGTATTTTAAAATGAATCTTAATGTTAAATTATATATTTTAAATGTATTTTTTTTATACGTATTTTAAAATGTATCTATATTTATAAGGCATCCTATAATTGGCCACCGGTTGTAGGATTTGTGAAATAAAATAAATTAGGCCTACTGCCTATATTTTATTACCCGGAGGCCCATTTTTGCTTTAGTGGATTGCTTTCGTTGAATAAAAATAATTTTTCCTAGTTAATGAAGAAATATTTCATAAGCTTACACTCGGGCTTTGCTTTTCAGTTTTTCGCATGGCAAGAGCTTTAAAGTTAGTATCACCTACTTTACAGTAGGCCTAATGCCATACCAGATACCGGTAGTCATATTACCCTGTCGAAGTTCATAGTTTTGGCTAGGCTACAGGCGCCTAGACCCTATAAGTGTGTGGTAACTTTTCAGGTCATTCAAGACGACACAAACCACCTGTTGTTAAGTAAAAATACCCACAGTTAAACTAGGTGCTATAATTTCTACTAGAATTTAAAAACTTGTATTATAATCTAGAAAAGCCCTCAGACGTTCAATTAAAATTGCTAATATAGAAAAATCAATTAAACTATCAACTTCTAATTCGACAAACATCGGAAATAATTCATTTTTCGAGGATTTCCTTATTTTTACTTGAATTGATTAGCAGTGGTGTATTAATGACTTATCAATTGGCTTGAACATATTTTCTCATTCTAAATTTAAAAACCTTAATAACTTTACTTAGGCGTGAATAGAAAGTTGCTAAGAAGTTCAAATAGGCCTATTAAATAATTTTACGCTTAGTCGCTTAATTAGGTACAGTATATCAAAGTTTTAATAACTTTAATCTAGGCTAGATAATTTTAGGCCTCTAGACCTTTAATGTACCGTTATTTACTTTAAATCAATATTGGCGTTATTAGTTCTTAAGTGCTTCTACTTAGGCCTATTTAATAAATGCTGTGTCGTTTTAAACTATTTAGATTGATAAGTGGAATAAAATTAAAATATAATATGACGTAATAATTGGGTTGAAATTGCTGGTATTTTTCGCTCTTTTTTACTTTTAATTTTGAAAAGTTGATGACTCTAATTTATTTGATAGGCCTATGTTTTATGTTAAAAACGAATAATAATAATAATCTTTCGTTTGGTTTATTTGAAAATCATAGGCCTATCAAAATCAGGTGTAGGCTATGCAGAAGCCAGGCCATCAACAACCAGGAATGTTTAGCCATGCGGCATGATGTCGAATCGTTGTACCTGCTAGTAATTTGGGGGTTTTTCTTTTTTTTTGCCTTGTCATGAAATTTAGAAAAACCTATAAAATTAAATTGAAACGTTTAGTACTCAATTTTAATTGATAAAATTATATAAAAATGAGACAAGGATCAACACAAATCACCATTTGCTCATTTTTAGACCCTGATTTATATATTGGCCTTTTTAAAGGGTGTAAATAATAAGCAACGGAGGCGTTAATTATCAAAGAATTATTTTCTTTTAAAATTTTTCAATCGAAAGCTAATGTACAACATACTTAGTCATAATATTGAATTACTTTTATTAGCGCAACACATAAATAGGCCAATTTGTAACATTTGAACACCACTGACTAGTTATCGTGCATTCGTGTAAAAGTGCTAGTTTACATAACTTTCCCGTATACAGACCTTTCCTACATAATATTAAGATGCATAGGAACTGGGTAGCATTTAATCGTTCATCCCACCATGCATGGGTAACACAGAACACTTGTTGTATTCGGAGGAGGGGCAATCCTTTGCAAAGTTAATAGGCCCAACTCCGCCAATTAGGACACATTGTGTAAATGTGTACGTTTATTATCTGTATTGATCTAATTAGATGACCATAACAATGACCCTAAGTCCGTCTTAACCATGTAAGGTGTCGGAAGAAAAGAACTGTAAAGCGTAAGGAAAACAACGTTTAGCTATAATATAAGAGAGCTATGTCAACTTCCAACATCCGTGTTTGTGTCCACTGGTTGTACTAAAAAGTATTGTTATAAATGCCCTGGGGCCTTAATCCATCAAGTTTTTATTCACTCCAGAACCCCGTAAAATAATTATCCTAAATAGACAGGTTTATACTTAGGTTATAATGAACATCATCATCAAACTCTGGTCATCTTCCCTCCCATTTGTTGTTATTTGAACTGTTTTGTATTGTATTTGTTGGTAGGGTTTGGTTAAGCACATCACTTGATGACAGTTTTGAACTTTTGCTTTTCCTCGGCACCACTGTTCAGTTTTTTTTATTACTGTTTTTTGTCATAAGATTGAAAATAAATAAATAAAATAGCAAATTCAAATACCACCGAAAATTCGGAAAATAACCACACTGTAGGCCGTTCTATATTATGATTAACAAGAAAAAAAATCCTATACAAAAAGGCCTATCTTTAATATTAACAGGAAGTAGTCGAATTATGACTGCCCCTGGTGTCTAACGATGGCTCAGATGAAAACACTATGTTGTGACACCAAAACAGGTAGTTGCTAAATACTTTAAAAACCACACGCTGTGATTGTGAACTATATGTTTTTCAGCCAATTAGGCCCCATTGATTTGGTTTTAAAAGAATTCAGCGAAATCTTCTAAGTTAGATCTCAAGTTAATGGAAGAACAATGTATCAGGCTTAGTGTAACTATTGTGCATTTAACGACAATATAAAATAATTATTTCAAACAGCTATGTGTAACAACATGTGGTGTTGCCGAGGAGGCATTGTGCACAGTGTAACTTGTAAAGGTGTCTTTTTTTTAGTTTTAATATTGTGCGAACTAATTTGATAGAATTTAATATATTCCCATACTCAAAATATAAAATTATGATTCGAGAAAAATGCATTTAACAGGCTGTTGTGTAAACAAGAAAAAATATATTAGGCTATGATCCAAATAGAACTTTTTTTTCCCCCAAAATATCTTCAAATCGAAATGTTGAACTGCCGGGAGATACAGTAATCGAATGGTTAATATACATTCGTTGTGCAGTTAGGCAGTGGCGTAACGCCTATGCACTTTCGTACGGCGGTCCGCAGATTCCCCTACCCCTGGGGGCCACGAAGAGGAACCTAACTACATGATCTTCAATCTAGCACCCTGACCCCAAAGGGCTTTATTGATACTTCGCAGCATACCGTAATATGTCCCTGACATCGACTGTATATCATATTATATCCGGTGGCGAATAAAAGGGACCCCTGAATATTATAATCTGTGAGTGCCATTTCCAGCCATTTAGAGGTGTCGTAATCATAAATGTTCTTGCCTCAGCCCCCACCATGATGGGGCTGAGGTCGTTATTAACCTTTATCAGTAAAGTCTCTCCCTGGGCCATATTAAGCATTCCTAGATTCGCCACTAATATTATATAATTCATTTTGTCGTTAAAAACATTTAGATTGCAATGACAAATATAATTAGAAAACGAGCACATCTAGAATCCCAATTGGTGACCGGGACCCAAAAGTCCCCCACTCTCAGAACGCCACAGGGCCCCCAGCCCCATCGTTTCGCGACTGCAGCAAGGCCTATGATACTGCACACTCTACGGTATCTTCTATCGCTGACTCTATTTATAGGCCTAAAATAGGTCTGATATTTAGTATTTTTGTTGTTCGCGAACGCACGAGAGTTATTGTTTTAAAAGGTTATGTTGGAACACGGAGATATTGTTAGGCCTTAATATAAACCTCTGTAGTTGAAATACATTATGTTCAATGACGTAGCCAGGATTTTCAAACAATGCGGGACAGAATCAGGGTGGACCCACTTTACGCGTAAATTCAAATAATGTGGATCCACTTTCTTAAAAGTTGACACATTTTACGCAAAATATGAAAAACCTGGACCCATTTTTCAAAATGTGGACTCACTTTATGCATTAAACATAATTTAGACACATTTATTAGAATGTGCACAAATTCTTTGTGTACCCAATACAAAAACTGGTTAGGACTGTCCCAACTGTTCCATTAGCTGGCTACGGCATTGATTATGTTAAACTTTATGAATAGGCTATTGTAATAATTTAAATAATGGTTATGATGATGATATTTTTGTTTATGATAATGTTGTTCATGCTGATGATTGAATGAGAATACCGGTAGTGATAAAAAATGATGATAAAAAATAATAACAATGAAAATATGATCAAAATGACGATGAGAATAATGGATAGTGGATCGAATCGTGTTAAATAGTGCCACTAGTGAAGGGAAGAGCGGAAACTTACCCTACCCCACCCAATTCAGTCGGGTCACAGGTCGACACATTTCGTACTTTGGAGAACAAAATGTCAGAGATTTTACTGGATGCAGTGCGTATGACACGCCAATTCCTTGACAGAAAAAAATCCTCATTATCGGCAATTGCAAGAATCCTGGTGTATTGACATTTTGTGTGGCCCGTGTCGAGGATGGTAGGTTAAATCCAACATCATCGAGAAAGGTTCGCATTTTAAAACAGGAAGAAGGTACGGTATTATTACAACACAAGTCATCACATTCTCTCATGTTAAACAACAACAAAAGAAGGCAAAACAACAAGAAATTATAATTTTATCTTTTATATTCTCCTCGATTCGACCAAGAACTTAACCGTTCGAAACATCTTTTTAGGTATTTCTCAATAATAAATAGGTGGTATTTGGGTATTACCAAAATTGTATACATTCAAATGTTAACATTTTAACATCTTTTTAAAATTGTAAACTATTGTCTGCTTTTGAAAATCATTTCACAAAAAACAAAGACTATATAGATACATTTTGTATTTTTTTTAAAATTTAAATCTATATTTTTAAAGATCAGAGGTTGATTCGCACCATATTAAAAAACACTTGGTGTGAACACTGTAGAGTTTTATAGGTACGTAACAGTAAGATCCCTAATGCCCTTGTAGACGAGACTGCCAGTCCAAGACTAAGATTGCGGGTATTATAACGTACCAATAGATTGGACTATGATATCTCCTTAACTAAAGAATCTCTTCCATTAGTAAAATAAATTGCAAATCATCGAATGAATCATTACTATTATGCTGGCATAAAATCCCAATATGTCCCGTAAAGGGGATACTTGTGGAAACCTATCTAAAGTACATTTTCGAAATCTTTAGACTCCGTGAATATTTTCTTGAAACTTTGAATTAATACATTGCACAAATCATCGAAATAAGGTAATAGTAATACATCTCCACGAACATAACCTAGCCGTGAAGAATTTTAAGGTTTCTATATCGGCCTAGTTTAGGCCCGGTTTCATGATTGTAGCCTATTCGTATGTTTCGATCTTCAACACCGCCTGCGTGAAACATTCTTAAAGAATATATTTACAATTTTCACAATATGGTGGGCTGATACACATAACATTGTATACACAAACATAGTAACAACTTTGAGAGCTTAAATATTTAACTAAACTAAATATTGCATTTCTCGAAATACGAGAATCCATGAATTTGTTCGTCATGTTTAAAAATCTGACCATGTTTTTACAAACAATAAGTTCATATTGGGCATAAATAACGTAATTAATACAATGATCACGGTCATTTGATCATGCCCACGTTTTATCAATACGTAAAGTAATTAAAATGGAAAATAAAACAACTTATACAACTTTCAGATTTGTTATTGTAATTTACAATAATTTATATAGTTTTTTTTTTCAATGGCCACAGATGAAATTTAAAATCCTCTTGTATTCAAATAAGCCATGTTGCCTTATGTCCCAACGCTTCAGATCATAGCTGAATTTCGCAAGCAAAACAACTAAGAGTGTAATGATGAATCGAGCGAATATGATAACAGTCCCCTCAAAGTTTCGGTATACTTTCCTTGACGTATTCTACCTAAAATATCACACAAATTGCACCAAAGGAGGATTTAGAGAACAAAAGAGATACCATACTAATGCGAAATGTGGCCTACAGGTCCTTCGACCAATGTTTGCAAGGCCTTATTAATACAATAGGCCAGATGATAACATTGTATTTGAAACAGAACTCAATTGAGTATGCTCGCAAGAAATAATAGCTATGTCATTTTCATATATATTCATATATACATATATAGGAATTTATATATACAGTATATATATATATATACAGGTTATGTATATATATTTGCCTATATTTATATCTTTGTATAGTATATATATATACTATACATATGTGTATATACACTATACAAATTTATATATATATATAATAATGAATATTTTATTAATTTAGGCTATATATACATGCAAGTTGGATGTATATACAATTATATATGTATATATCAAATATATATGATAGGCATTATTATAACCAGGTCTACATAGAAGTAATGTAATACACACACCGAATTAATATGAATTACACACCACGAGTAATAACATTTACAAAAAAAAAAAAAATTACACTGTATTAATGCTGAAGATGTATTGCGTTGGTGTACCGAATACAATGTCGCGTTTCCCCCGGTTGTGGATCATTGGTTATAACTTCATTCCGGAGTGTATCACAATTTTGTTGGTAGTCTAGTCCTACGGTATGTAGTTGGGCCTACAGTTCGCACATCATTTAGACGTAATCTTCACCGTTGACTGATGAACTCATTCTTGTCGCTCTTACATCGATGTTTACAATCGTATTTGTACGTCTACCTTTCCCAAAACACGAGCACCAAATTGGAAAGTTCAATATCCAAGGCGAAAAAAAAACCACTTTAGTCACTAAGTACATTGCGCATGATCAATTGCTGCCACTGTATAATCGTATTCAATATTCACCTTGCAAACTTGGCGAGAAAAAACTGGTTCACGCATGATCTCACGTGATCACGAATGTCGCAAAAATCTTCTAATCATATAATCCACATACAACAGAAACACAGAAAATCGCATAAAAATGTACCGTATTTTTCTCTTCGAATTATAAATTTGTTTTGCAAAATTTGTTCAGCGTAATCAAACTGTTCGGTTTATAGCAGATATGGAATCACATGGCCATGTTTCTGGCAGAAGATATTAGTCGCTTCCAACTGACAACTGGTCCAGTTGGCTTCCCCCGTGAGTTAGTCTGTCAGTTGAGTCAGGTGTTGGTGGTAAACTTAGAGGACCTTCGCTTCCCTCTCCTTTCATATTGTTCTCCGAAAAATTCACCTACAAAAAAAAACACCATATATATATATTATTTACTTCATTGGTCTACAACTGTAAATTCACATACATGTCCAAATACAAAATTATTAGTAATTAATAAAAATGACTTTACAAGCCCCGCAAACACTCCATAATAGAACATAAATAGAAAAATTAATCAATGAAAACCATGAATAGGCCTCTTATTAATCTACACGATACAAAGTATTCATCGAATTAAACACTGTCTTCATCGAATTAAACACATAATATGACTACCCTACTTTTAAAAAATACAAATGAGGTACCGGTACGCGGTAAGATTAGGCCTACTTCTTGATATAAATAAAAAATCAGTACAGAGGCATATTCGTACTTGACACACTCTTGTATAATAATATGTCAAAGTTTAAAATATTGCTTTCGCGGTCCACCGCCTCGGTACCTTTTAGACAACAAATTGCGATGCGTTTTCGTTTTCACACACGCGTCTTGATAGGCGAGAAACGCCAACATAAAGTTGACTACACACTGTTAGTTTAGTATTATGCAGCTACATGCCTGCTCCACTCTCGGAACATGTGTTCCAATAAGGAAAATTATTTGATGGTGATTCGTAATCGATATTACGCAGATAGTACTTCTCACTGTCAATATTAAACTGGACATGCGATATATTACGAGTGAAATTTAGTAGATCATCTTCCTTCGTTTTAGGATGATACAATTCAAACCAGCATTCAATTACACTTAGCCGGGACGATCATTTTAGATTGATACTTCGTTTTCACCTTGTACGGTTTATTTGCATTCGGAAATATATTAAGGTTCGGAAAGAAATATTGTGAATCGTGCATAATTAAGCAGAAAGTGGACGTATGAGTGGTAGAAGATCTAGCCTATTTAACAAGGGTGGGGGTATAATTATTGGAACCTGAAAATATTTTGGAACTATGACACCATGAGATGATAAACGAATGTGATTTACACATATCAGTATTTTTGGATTCTCATTCTTAACATAGAATTACGAGTATTTTTTAACTGAAAAATATTAGGTTTAGAGAGGCTATCTTATGTTTTGTCACCATTATTTAACAATTTAAAAATAAATTTGTGGCCTGTCAAATTAAGGCTCAAATGAAATTAACAAATACCGTATAAGGTCAAACTTAAATTGCTGGAATTAAATTTCCTAATTGTTTATAAGTACCGTAACAAATTGCGATTTCAAATTGATTAAATATAATATATGCGCTTAAATTATTTTGTTCGAGATTGAAATAAGTGGGTTCAACTCCCACAATAGAGAGCGAAAGAAAAAAAAAAGAATTTTGCTTACAGTAGTCGCAGCAGAACAGAATGATTGTATTCTTTGGATATTTACACGTCGAGTTTGTTTGATCATATTTCTATTGTAATATAATGTAATGAGATATTGAAACGTGTCCCTCTCTTAATACCGTACGTAGGTCTCTCTATAGGTCTAAAAGTTTAGAAGTTTAATGTAGTCACATGTAGCTGTATGACTGTTGGTGGTGTATACTGTTAAATCAATATCGTTGATAAGAAGTAAATATAATGCCAGGCTATTATTATTATTTAATATCAACTATTAATTATTATACGACTAATAATATTGCATTTATTTCTGGCAAGTACGAGTACTCAGTTCCAGCGTTGTGTTTAGTCGGAGTTTTGTTTTGATATTTTCACTTGTAACAGGAACGGTTCCGTATCTACTTTGTTGATGTTTACGACGTGTAAATAATCACGTAGGCATATTAATACGAGTGTTTGCATCCAGTGAATTATCGAATTAATTAGCGTTGGATAATTGAAATGTTGTCGACTGAAATACACTGATAGCAATTTCAGTCCTCTCTTATGCCCACCCGGTTGCAGTTGGCAGCGTCCAATCCGGCTTCCTTCCAAATCAATCAGTGTTTTATGTTTCAATTGGCAACCAACGAAAATCAATAATAAAACCTGTTTGGGTAATATTCATAAAAATGAGAAAACATAGGAAAAACAACGCGGGAAAATGTCGATATATTTGTGCATATTTTAGCACATAATTAGAGAGCGATTTGGCAGACGACTGGTAATGCTTTGCCGTTTGCTCTGTCAAAGGCCATGTTCGTTATCGATTTGTCATCATCGACCGTACAAGTGATAATTTTCGCGGCGTGGACAGTGGAACAGGGGCAGGGGATATTGACTTGACCTAGGCTGGGTGTAAAGACTTCACAGCGTCTTGTTGCGCGAACAACACGACGGCGTCCGATGCGGATTCTCCCGGGATATATAGCGGCTGTCGTTACCGATCGGATATTCAGCCTGGCGTTAGGATCGAAGTTTAGCTTACAAAAACATCAATCTGGGAAATGACAAATAAACTTGTTTTCGGTAGTTTGGTGTTTCATTGACTTTACGTGATAAAAGTAAACTAATGAAGTGATCCGAAGTCAAATTAAATATCAAATATATCCTAGTATGTGTTTACCTTGTGAACCAATTACTCAACAAAAGAAGTCCCGATACAAAAACTAATTATTCTGACACGGATTAGTTCAAAAATCTCCTTCATTTAAACAGGTCGTTGAACGGTTGAAATTGTTTGAAGTTTTTGGAGGATTTTATGAATATTAATAATTTAATTTCCAGCGCGTACTCTACGAAATGAAATTGTGTTATTTGAGGGTTTTTCACCCTTCGAAATTTACTGGCTCGTGTGGCGTATAATCCTACATATTGACGTAGTAAAATTATCAAGCAAGAGTAATTTAATACCGGATTAACTTTGGATCAAATAAATCCGATTAGTGGTTGTACTAGCTCTAACGCCAATAGGTATTATAATAATGTTATTGTTACATAATTGGAACATGTTTATTTATCTGCCGGTAGTGTCTAATGTTAAGGGGATTTGATATTCTGTCGGTGTTCATAACACAAAACATGCTGTTTTCGCACAATATTTATCTCTTAAAAACCGTACGACACAGTCTTAATTAATCTTCTGACGTTGTTGTTAAATTTATGATAAGGCTGACTGAAATACTGCATCCCAAGTGTTGCATGGATTAAATGGAAAAACAATGCGACCTAATATATATAAAAATCGATTGCTAAATGAGTCGCTTTTTTTTTCAAGAATTCAATCTAATTTAAATAGGCGTGCGTTTGAAGTGCCTATATTTAGAAATAATTATGCCTAATAATTTATTATTTTTTGAATAAAATATCAAGCCTTTAGTTAAAAATTAAGTATTGTTATCATTTGGAAACCAGGATGTTACAAATTCAAAGAATCCAAACGTAAGAGCTGAACCCAGAGCTGATTTCCCTTTGTGTAGCCACAAACTTAATTTTAAACACTCATATATTTGGTATTATTGTGTTTAGGTGAAATGTAAATAACTATATAGAAACAATAGCAATTAGAACACTAGTAATAATTATTATAATATTGAAAATAGGCCTATTTATAGGCTTAATATAAAATAAATTAAAATTATTATTTATAGGCCAAATAATACCGTATTAAAATATAATGCAAATGGTAAAAAAATACATTAACATTAATAATAGCAATATAAATATAATAATACAAATATTAAATAATTAACAAAAAACAATAGGCCCAATAATAATAATATTTATAGGTAAAATAATAATAATAATAATAATAATAATAATAATATAATAGGCATAATATATGCGCTTGTGTGAATATTAAATTTTTAATCACACAATTTTTTCTTTAAATTAAAATTCAAAATTCATTAACCTCCCTTGGGAGAGCACACAATAATTGATATTCAAATACACAAAAATAAAAATACAATAAAATGGTTTACAACAATTAATAATAATATCTATCAATCTCATTTGAAAATAACAAAAACTTAACACTGTCACAAAGGCCATAACAATTAACATATTTAAAAGATTTACACGACTGTATTGGTCGTATCTTACGACACGTATCTTTGTTTTAGGTCAGGCTTACATATTTGTGCAACAAACAAACCATGAAATAAACATTACTCTTTGCGAATTACAATAGGGTGAAATAATTAATAACATATTTATTTAACCTACAGATTATATTCTACGCAACACATTAAAATTATAGTTAATTATTAATTATTAATTTTGGCATAAGTATGAAACTTCCACATCTAACACTAACTCAATGCACATTATGTGTTATTGCCTTTCGATGCTTGTAGAACACATTCCGTTTTCTAGACTTATTTTTTGGATTTAATTATTATCTATTTAACACCTTTTGTATTGATGTTCAAATTTAGAAGTGTCATATTTATCAACTTAAGTAAACAGTCAGCAAAAAGCAAATGTTATTGGGTTAACGAAATCTAAGCAAGATCTAACGAAATTGTGGTTATATCATCCACATCATTGTTGAGAGATATCTAGAAATGTCTGTATCCATCACCGCGATTCATTTAGGAGCTGTTATGTAAATGAGTTCGACCTCAGATTATAAATAAACGTCAGCGAAAATGTCGTATATAAATCTACGAACGCTTCTATCTGACAATTGAATACGGCTAATCGTTCAGAACACGATATTAGAATCTGAATATGCAAATTAGCTACTACTGAAAAAGCCTTAAATTTAAAAAAATGTATAAATACTAACTGATTTGAATAATATGCAGATAAGCTGCCAGTTTAATTTAAATAAATAGACCAATGGATGTATTAACAAATAAATAAATACAAGTCCTCCTATGAAAGAAAGTGTTTCTAAAATTATTTACTTTATATTAAATAATTCAGTATCCGTAATTATTATTATTGCTGTTGTTATACAAGATTTATGTTATAACAATGATGTATACGCCATAGGGACATCTCTCCTTGGTTACTGTTATTAATTTCTAATCGGGCTAGGCCTATATATTATTTTAATTATTTTAAATCAAAGCGTACACCAATATTATTCTCATCGTAAGCGTATATTTATATATATTATTTATTAAAATGATTTTATTTTTTAATATGCATATTTGTTGTCATCAATGATATGTTATGAGTATGCGTCAATTCAGTCACCGTGTGGAGCGATTAGTCTCTTATGCTATTATATCCGTGTTAATTCGTACACAATATATGAAGACGTGTGCAGTAAATGGGTTGATGTTTTTATTATCCTTCCTCCTTCTAACTACGTTTCATCGCTTATAATCACAAACTGGCGAATATATTAAGAATTTGATGTTGTCGATTATTAGGCAAAAATACCTGCCCGAGGCTAAGGCAGTGAGATATGCTGCGAGTTGTATTATGAAAATAGTGCATGACTGATTTTTCCCCAGATTTAAAAGAAACTCGTTAAACCGTTACCTTTGATGTGTCCTCATTCATATTACTACTAGACTGCATTGTCACAGAGATTATTTAGTAATTTGTACGAAATATTTTTCTTGATTCTGTCCCAAGTCTTTGAGTTAGTCGACGGCTATTGTGTCGCAATGAGTAATAATTTATTGGATTTATAATCTTCATGTAAATTAATAGCGGGTTATAAAATCAGAACAGTACGGCAGTTCTAGAAGACATCATAACATATCGTGTAATTATCATTTCTTTATCGTTATTATATGGCTGGTTGTTGTATTGCTATTAAAAAATCATCGCTGTAGGATTTTGTCGGTCTCATATTCATGCGTACAAAATCATTTATGAATAGGCCTATAATCGTAACTTATGTGTTCATATTAATTTATATAACCTGTTAACAATTAAACATATAAAATTGTTGTTACTAACATTGGTTTTTGAGTCAATTAAAATTATTACTGAGCAAGTTTTCGGTGCTATAATTTCATATTCTAGAGTTATACTGGTAGGGCCTACAGTCATTCTAGGTGTTAATAGCAATTCATAGGCCTATTATAATTAGCATGGTTATACAATATCTCATCGTCTTGATGGTAATTCCATTACGTGTTAAGTTTGTTTGACCATAGTTTGACACTGCGGAATCCATTACCTCATCCTTTGGCTGGGACTTTTAAATCGTTAGTTTTATGATGAATCAGTGTAATATAAAGAGTACGATACGATTCTGAAGTGTTTGTGGGGTATTGTGTCCCGGTGTACCAACAACCAATTCGCACCGTCACCAGGTGTCTATTCATCTGTGATGTGCTGTATTTATGTAATGGATTGCCGCTTATTTAGGCCTATACCATGAGGGGGAATAATTTATTCGTCCACGCTACGTAGACAGTTCTATATTCGCTCATTGACAATCATCCTCATGTGCCTAAATACATAAATATTATAAATAACATTTACAGTATATCCATGTATATTAAAAACTACCATACTACTACTATACCGTAAACATCATTACATTCATTATATTTTATTAATTCATAAATATGCATTGTATTTGGTCACAGTGTTGACTTTAGTTGGTTTATATGTCAATTACCGTATTGTACTTGTATTGTTTATATCATTAGCATTCATAAATAATCATGAATATTCATTCCTCAGTGTCATGAATATTCATCACGCTTTGCATTGGATCTCAATGATGTTCATTTATAATATTTATTCCATGTAATGGTACCTTGACATAAAAGCCTAACAATGAAAATCAATATTTACAATTGATCCTTTCATCATTCGATATCAAATTTCTTTCTGCCAATAAGATCAAACTTTCGGAAAATACGTGTTGGGTAACGCATAACGAGTGCGTTTAACGAATATCGTTACTACGTAAAGGTACTCGTTACAGTGTCACAGATTTAAAACGCATTATATAGGCCTAACCAAGATATGACGATGAAAAATAGACAGCATATGTCACTGTATTGATTAAATCATCTAACGACTTTATTTTTTGATGTCTTATAAATGAATACTTAGGCCTAATATCGTTTCAGGATAAAGGACACTATAGGCGGAGGATTTTGGGCCAAGGCGATGTCTTAACTCAAGATTAAGCTTTTCATTAGTATGTGTCCGTGCGTATATACACCAATCACGTATTAACGACAAATGAGTTATCATACGAGAGAACACAATTATCTTTGAATACTGAATGTGCCGCGAATTAAAAATAGTCTTAACATTTGTTGCCAGAAAATCCATTGTATTATTGGCTCTTTTGAATTAATTTCGATGTCACCACTTGGATCATGGGTGTTATTGGACGGTGGAAATGTAGCGAAAACCGAAACTAGAGCTGACTACATAAATGTGAATGACATCAGAGCACATAAGAGTCAACCAGGCCCACTTAAAATCACGGGAGAGCGGCACTTAAATGTAGATAATGAGCGCGTCATGTGCGTAGATGCACGTGACTAGGTCGTAGAACCGGCGACAGTTTGATGATGTTATTCTTACTCATCGTATTATTCCAAAAGAAAAACATTCTCCGCTAATAAAACTCAAATAATTACAAGTATCATAACTATGACATCATTTAAAAAAAAATATATGACGTCAACAACTTACCAATTGTTGGAAAGGGGGTTGGTGATCCAGATCGTTATTCATTGTAAAATCTGTAAGTGCCTTCCATGGTGGCTGGTAGCTTTGAACTTCGACCTGGTTGCCTTGAAGCTGTGTGTCGTGCCGCACGGGACTCGATGCTACCATTGGTACGCCGTTAAAGTTTTGCATCCTCCTATTTGCGTCCTATAAAAGATAAATATCGTATCAAGCATAGTTCTTCAAAAGTTTCTTAACCTTATGGAATCTTAACAATTCCTTTGTTTTAATTTGTTTAGGCCTATATTGTATTCACGCGGCGCAGCAAACCTAATTTGAATAATATATGCATATACAAAATAATAATATATATAATATATAGTCACCACCGATACAATGAGGACTTGGTACAGTAAACTGACACAATAAAGGCTCAGTATTAAACTTATTAATACTATCCTCTATCGGGAAACTATCCGAGACTTGCGTTCATCGAATCAAGGATGTACATTACAATATTCATAAACTCTCCCTGATCGAATAAAACAAGTAACAGCCGTACGGAATTACCGTATCAAAGAAAAAAACCCCTCCAAATACATGATCGCCATTGTCGTGTTATCATCTCATCTGTCAAGATAGGCTGCGTTTTAATCGCGTTATATTTTTGATGTTGCGTTTTAATTGCGTTGGGCCTATCTTCTATCTGGAGATTAACAATACTTTCGCGTCGCAAAACTTGGTAAATGATATCGACATTATTGCGTCACTGATACTTTTTTTTTGTTCTCGGACAAGGATCGAATCTTAATTGGTAGTGATATCGCTTTGTTGTCTCGGGATGATAAAATTGTACGTTCCTATCTCGTAGCTGTTTAAAAATATTCGGAGTTTGACGCATTTAATGCGTCAACTGGAAAACATCTAAACGGTTTAATCAGACAATGAGTCGCTTTATCAACAGAGATAGACGTATTGATGGTTTTCGTATCTATCTATTATCTTGTCGTCTTTGACAAAGTTCATGTTATTATCAAAAATGATGACGCATTGTGTTAATTTTGTGTCATCATACTGCAATTTTGTTTTGGGTTTAAACTTGAACGTATGCCTATAGTCAAGACCTATGGCTGGCTATATTTTCTTTTACAAGAAAAAATAGCCTAAATATTGTATCATGCTGCCAATTCAGACTTGTTAATATTAATAAATAACAGAATGTCTAACTTAATTCCTATCATTTGTTTCTCTCAATTTACCACCAAAAATGATATCGCGTTAGATTCATAATCAAAGTGTTGTATAAACGCATCTAACATCGTGTAGCGCGAATACAATAACGCGTCAGCGTAACTCGTCACGACGAGTTATATTGGAGATCCAAACGAGAATATAACGAGTGAGAGCGGTACCGCTTGCAGCGTAATATTGGCTGACAGTTGAATAAATAATCTCCCGAGCCTTGTTTGCAGTCTGTATATTTGATGGACAAGGAGTTAATTTTCTTTCGAACAGTTGCTTAAATATATGCCATGTATGACAAATTAAAATTTCTCAATATACGAAATTTGTTGGTAACCCGAGGATTTCGAGGGGAAAATAGATACAAGAATAACAAATGATAGGATACCGCTTGTTCATGTTTCGATGTTTAATTGTTGGGCATCTCATTTCATTATGAGCGCTGTTGTTTCGGGCATTTTTTTTTCAATCCTTACTAAACTATGGATAACCCTAGTCTCATCCCAATCCCAAATTGGCCTATGATACACAAGCCGATGTGACCCCAGCCGTAGGAAAGTCATTTATTTCTACGTTTGGCATATACGGTATTTAACATGTAGGCCTATTATTTATAATAATTATGTTTTAAGGCTTATTTGTGTAGTTCATATGATTTTTTTAATAGAATAAAATGCTGTTTAATACGTCCGGACTTCTACGTGTGGCGTTATTTATATTGGGATTGGCATATGGCTTAAGCACGATAGGTTGTACAATATAGATTTTTAAGCACTTTGTAGATATAGGATTATTTATAAGCATTTTTTTCATCTTTCCGGTGGCCGTCAGTGTTTCAAATTCCCCTTCATGTTCTCATTAAATATGATGAGGATAAATTAATAAGTGGTCTGACCTACGGGAAAACGTATCGATCGGTGATATCCAGTTGCGATTGTTATATTTGTTTGCCTCTTGTGTTATAGTTTCCTACCCGAACGTGCTGTCATTATCGTCGCATTAGAATAAAATACGTTTACTCGAGTGTTTTTAATAACTCTTACGATTTTGAAAAGTCCACTAGTATACGGGTAAGTCCTGGGGTTAAAAATCGTCTTTTTGCTCCAATTCGTTCGTGTTTGACCGATTCATGAAGGCCAAGGCCTATATAGGGCTCTTACAATTCTCGAAGTCTCGCACTGTGTTTATCACGAATACGTTCTTTTATTCTCTGAATAGAGCTAAATATATGAATGAACGGAGAAAATAACGTCGGTAATTTATTTTCGTCAGACGAATTTTGCAAACTGCCTCTTCCCCATTCTGTTGCCATTTGTAAAAATCCAACAGCAGAACAGTGTAATGGATTAATTCTCTGATTAACGATTTCCCAGCCTACTGCAGGATGTTAAAACCGATTAAAATTGCCTTCGTGGCCGAAGCCAAAACGTCCCTTGGATATATTTAACACAAATTACTGAAACTGCTTCGCGCCAAAAGTGTCATCAAACGCGATTCAGACGACACATGTCAGAGAAATTCGGAACAGAGAAAGCAATTTGTTATTGTCGTGGTTTATGAGTCGATTTCAGTCGGATCAAAGCGCTGCTTAGTAGGTTTCACGTTCTCTTATTTACATCGTGCATGCGTTTCTCCCCTGTCTTCATCTTGCAACAAAAGCATCCTCGAGAAAATACGGCTAATAACACGAATATGAAGACATTTCGAGTGATACACGATTTGAACAGACGAACATGTGTGCAAACAAAGGCACGGTTTTGAGCTTTCGGAGAAAAATAAGTGGCTCAACTAGCTGACAACAAAACGTAAGAACTACACCGACACTTAAATAAACTCGTTAAAATAGTTAGCTACAAACTAGGCATTCTAAAGAAATGTTTAAATTAATAAACTAGTGCCGTATCATTATCTAACTGCTACTAGTTCCAACTCACTGAGTGAAATCAAAATTTATATTAATCATTATTTCGGCTTATACAGTACACTACTTGATTCGTTTTCATTGATTGGTTTAAAATGCGACGATTAAAAAGCATGTCAATTCTTTTGAAGTATTATTAAATTATATTATTATTAGAATTAAAATTATCTAACAAACACTTAAACATCGTGCTAGCATCATTATTTGTTAATATTTTTTGTTATTATATTGTAGGCTGGGCCTATGCACATATTATAAAAGAAAACACATCAATTTTAAACCGATGATAATCGCATGCACAAACGAAGTTTTGAAGAGTCGACATACCTGGATAAAATTTAAATTTATAGTGTTTACTGTATTAATATCATTATTGTACACTTATTTTAGCTCCTAGATTTATAGATCACTAAGAGACCTACATTTACTAGATGTGATCGTCGTAAACGAATACTTCCTATAGGCTACGCACAAGAGAAAAGTAAGAAATATATTTCAATCACGAAATTAAATGAAATTAATAATTCATATATGTGAAGATTTCTGACTGGACAAAGAAAACAGGGCTGCTATTTGAACGTTGAATAAACGAAAAAAGGTCGATTTTACACTGAAATGTAACCTACGGTACAATTCACACACACAAAAAAAAATCGTGGCCGTAAAGTATTTCTCTCATTAACGTCATCATTAATGCCGAGCCCGCTTTCATCTATCTATGATGGTTGAAATGTAACCATCCTGAACTCTCCACCAATGATTGGCTGTAACACTCTACTAGTAACTCATTTTAATTTCTATACGCACTCGTTAATCGTTAAAATTGATGTACGCGCAGCTAACACGTCGTACTCGTGAAAAAGCATCTTTAGGAGGACGCTGTGACCAATTGGATCGTTTGCCAATAATGCGCGCTTTATTTATCTACAGCCCTCCATAAGGTAGAAGTCGGAATTATGAGTGTTTAGGGATTCGATAAAGCACAACATCTTGACAAGGACTCCTGTTGAGTATCTCAACGTCTACCACCCGCAACCATTATGTATAAATAAACAATTAATAGCCGACTTCTAAAACCAAACTGTCTCGCTGCAGCTGATAACAGCAGAGCCTAAGCCAAGTTGAGCCGATATCCCCGGCGGTTCACTGTAGTCATCGCTAGCTTCTTCCAGTGCCGTGCTTGTTTGTGACGGGCATACGCGCTTATACGCTACTGCGCTACATTAAAAAAAAATTATCTTATTCTCGTATTTCAGTGTTATTCTGTAATTCTTGTATTTTAATCCATCCGGACTTAAAGTGGACTTGTGCCGCGTTGTAATAACATGTGGTTAATTTAAACGCACCGTAAAATAACCAAGGCAGTTATGTACCCTTCGATATATTTAATGCACATAATAACCCACACCCATGCGCTACGGTTCACTAATTATAACTTACGTGCCACTACGCGTAGATAAAATAAAATTTATTTAATTACTGTATATTAAGTCCTAATAAACACGATAATACTCACAGTTATTATAATTCATTGTATTAATTATTAATGGATATTATTTTGTATAGAGTATCTGAGCTTGTTGGCTACCCAATATAGATGAGATGCACCCGATTTATACGAATTACGACTTCATGCGCTAATATACTGCTCGCCACCTCTGATGTTTATGTACAAGTGCTAAGTAGGCCCGATGAAAGGATAGGTCAAAGCCTTACATCATTGCTTAATAATTATCGAATGAATGTATTTCTAAGGACTGCTAGTAGTAGTAGCGATGGTTAAAGTTGTGACTAAAGCTGACTTATGAACTGCGATACATCAGCAAGGCCTAGCCAGGGAACAGACGTTTTTCTTTTGTCTCCGTGTTGACAATGTAAACAGAAAAAAAAGGCACACACCAAGAACCGTGCCGGTTGTGTTTTACACTGTATAGTATGTTTGAGTATATGCTTTTGTTATTGGGTTGTAACTGTACGAATACGTATAGTAACAGGTTGCGGTCTATGCCCATGTGAATGCCTTTCGAATGGTAACCACGTCTATTCGTTCTAGCACAGACCTTGCGTAGAACCAGCGCGGTTCGCTCGAATGGCGCCTTAATTCAAACTGCACATGGCTTGACACGCCTTTTTAATCTCCACGATTAAAACAAAAATTACGAGAGATTAGAATTGGGTAATCACGGAGTAGGCCTAATCATTTATAAATTTCACACTATTTTGATATTATGATTATGAATGATCACCGATCCATGCAAAATCAACTGCGATTACGATTAATATGGTGAGATAGTCCTATATTTTAGTTGTCCGTCTGTCGTTGCTGCACAATGCTGTGATAAACCGATCCAATATTTTCTCATGTTGTCCTTATTATTTCAATAGCAAGGAAAACAAGAATATTCATTGGCAATCATTTCAGTAATATCATAATTCATATGAAATGATATACGACTATCGAAAACCTATCAAAACTGTAATTAGAAGGCCTTGTTGTGATTGCGATTTTGTCGAACGTTGTACACAACATTAATTAAACTTTACATACACATAATTTGTTACCGCTTATATTTTTCGGCATTAGATTTGTTTTAAGATTCTTGTTATCCATAGCCTTATATGCTAGGGTCCTCTTAAATGGCGCCCGCAGGTCAAATGTAATAAACCATTACAATATTTTAATTGGCCCCCATCAATAAGTACGGTAATTGAGCATTCTGGTGTAGGTCTACTGATTTATATGTTTCAAATTAGGTCTGTATGACATTGATACTATTATAGGTCTTTTATTTGGAGGTGATTACATTTGAAATATTAGGCCTATATAATAATAGTAGGCCTGTTTTTAATATTTGTACTTAACATCACAATAATCATCATCATCAAAATTGTAATCTTTCATCATTTATGGTTATTTTCTATTTAATTACTTAATTAAGCATCACCAAGTTTATTATTTTATTGCCATTTATAGGCCTATCTTAAAATAGAGATATTAAAATCAACATAGCAACTAAGCTAATATACCTTTCATATCATTGTAAATTATTTATTAATAAGTAATCAATAATCAATAATCAATATCCTCACGGCATGGTAATGTATTTGCTTGCATGTTATTATTTATGATCGGTATAAGCATATTATCACTGTTATATCACTGCTTTGGTTTGGTGGCAAAACGATTACTCTTCTCACGATTTCTTAAATTGTACGTTACAAAACATTAGCTAATTTTAGTGTGTTGATGTCGTCTGCAAGATATCTGGTCAGACGACCGATATAGCTGAGCTGGGCAGACGATAATAGTGCAAATAAAGGACATTGTCTCATGAATGACGTGCTAATTTTCTAAAATGGCCGTGCACTTGACATGACGACTTGTTACAATAATAGCCGGGCGCGCTCTAATCAAATCCTATTTGTGTTCATCCACAACAAAACAAACTGTCTTTCTCTCTTCATCAACATATTTGATTGAATTAACTAGGCGAGAAGCTCGTTAATTTATCAGGCTTAGCCCGTGCTCACTAGCCGAGGGAATCAGTCGGTTGTTCGTTTTTGCCACCTCGGCTGTGGCAATAGGGGATTTAAAACAGCCCGGGTGTGTAAGCGGATAAAGCCCCGCGTTTCACACCTCGTGTTTTGTGCACATCTAACAAAACGAAGTCGTTTCTCCATGACGTTTCTTGAAAGACAGGTTATTACTGGCAGTCGGAAGAATGATGCTTCCATCTCAGAAATATGCGATATTCGGGTGGTTGGCCTATAGAGATGTGCGGTAACTCAAGTAAAAAAGAAATTACGTCCTGTCTCACAAAAACAAAATCTGACCCCCACCTCAATTATTTCGGCTTCCTCTCTATCGTATCGCAGTGCTATTGGCGTAACACATCACTTGTTCAGTACTGTATACTTACAACGTATACGCACTCGTCAAGGAGGTTGGGCGACTCCACATAAACAATGCCTATCGAGAACTGAGTAATCTTTACGTGTTTATAAGACTTTATTAATGGTCAGTTAACTAGACTTCTAAACTTTCTTACCTGTTTGTTTTGTTGGTCTTGTAAATTTTGAACCAAAATTGTGCGTTTTTTGTCTTTGCATCTTTTATTCTGAAACCAGACACGAATTACGCGTGGACTCAATGCTGTCATCTCTACTAACTGTTCCTTCATGAGCGCGTCTGGTCGTGGGTTGGCCGCATAACACGTCCTAAGGGTATGGAGTTGTTTTTCGTTGAGAACCGTTCGGACCCTTGTAGTTTTGCCATCTGATTTGTGGCTTCGTCCGGACGAACGATTTTGAGTACTATTGGTATGCGTAGCTAAACAAAAACAAAAGCAAGAAATCATAATTGACAATTATTATGGCCATCAATTACTATTATTATCAATAATATCATAAAGCTTAGACCTACAGGTATTAAATTATTATTATTCCGTTTAGTTGGTGCCAAATGTTTCCTGCTGGAGATTGGTTAACATATTTATTATTAAAGGTCTATCTTTAATTTACCATAGGGCTGTAATTGATTGCACACGATTTGGTTTTAAATCAAACACTAAACAGTATTAGATTTGAATACGTTGTATCGCAACGGAGAACTAACTCATATCGAATTATATACACCATATGCTGTTGTAATTTGGCAGAACCTTGCGATTGATATGTTTATTAATTAAGATGTATGCAATATTAAAGCGCTTGTCTCGTGTATTCACGTATATTATGCGCGTAAATTTCAAACAAGGTGCATTTTATGTAAATGAGGCTAAACTTTTAAATAAACAGCCAATCACAAGCTTGATGGGTTCGTGATGTTTATATTTCCAACACGCATCGAATGCAGGCTTTACCAAAATGAGGTAAAGACGTAAAATTAACAATGAATCTGAATGAACATTATTATATCATTCCGTGCCACTTTCTCTTTAAATCTCAAACTACGGAATGATCTTAAATTCTAGCAGAACAATAAGCCGATTATGTTATGAAAAATGAAAGATAATAATAATCATAAAAACTTAAAACCATATGGATTTGTATTTAAATATTAGTATCTGTGAACTTCATATTAGGCTACATAGACAAGCATGCTCAGTATTAGCAGGCCACACAGGCTTACAACATGATTCAGTCCAGGTAGGCTGCAGCCCTACGGCTTTCAGCCTCAATAAAACACGTACATGACTAATAATAATACTAAACCAACCAAAATTAGTTCATCCATATGTTTGCTATATGAAATTATTATTATATTATATTTTTATTTATTTATTTTATTTTATTTAATATTTAGGCACAAGGCCAATGATATTTTATTTTATATCATAAGGTCTGTTGGTATTAATTATTCTTAAGCCTAATCCATTTTAAAATAGATATTTTAGACAGAGCTGTGTCGGCCCGAGTCTATATTTGAGCCGACCAATACCTCAGAAGTTGCAGAACTCACAATGATTTATCACTTCTTTGATTACGGTTACCAAAAGAATAAACACTATAAAACGGACCGATTGAAGCCGGTGGCATTATTAGTAGAACTAGGGTAAGCCTAAGTTTATGCATTCAAATAGGCCTACAGTACTCTGCCAGGAAGAACAAAGTTCAATTACAAGATCATTTCTTTACGGATTTCAGTCCTGTTCTTGCATGACAAAACTGTCTCACGGTTTAGGCCTATGCCTATAATGGTTTTCCAAGACAAATTTTCCATAACGAATAAAAGAAAGACCAATTGAGCTTGAATCTTAGAAAAATTTTACTGAAAAGGTGCAGAAATACCCTATTCGAATGAATTTAGCAGTCAGAAATTGTTGACTGAAGGGGTTAAGCTACATTTTGAGGTTCAGTGAGAAAAAGAAAAACTCCAGGCAATTGGCCTCGAAAATAAAGTCATAGAAGGCCTTATGACAAAAGTGTTTTGGTGCGGATGATAACGCCTTTTATATGCGCACCATTACGCGTTTTATTGTGTCCTCACTAACGTTAAAAACGCTTACAAAATGTCCATAAGTGTTAACATCCTGCGTTCCATCTTTCTCCACTTTTATCATGACACTTTTTGCTCTGTTTGAGTCACATGAACGCATCACAGGCATCAAGCCTCATGTTAAAGGCAAAGCAATACAGAGGCAATTTATTCAAAGCGAGATGGTACGTTCGTGACAACACGCGCAAGCTACATCACCACTGCATTGCCCTAGGCTCCTATCCACGATCGATCCGCACCATTCGCGTACAAATCGGCTGTCTACCTCAATCAAGACAACGATAGGTACAAATAAGACGCGGAATAATCAGTCAACTACAAAAATACCGACAAACGTAAATGGTAGCCTGCAGAAGTGCGACTAAATCATCGTAATGAAATTAAACATAATCTAAAGACGAAGCAGACGAACCTGTTATTTGTGGCGTAAACATGTAATGGGGGACTCATATACAGGAAGGGTCTTGTTCTTGGAATGTTCATACTGATTACTAAATGTATAACTATAGCCTAGGGTATGTGTAACTATAGGCCTCTACTAGGGCTACTGCTATCATAGATGCTGCTGCCGTCACAGTACTACTATACTGCTACTGCGACGGCTACGCTACACTACTTACTACTAGAACCTCCAAGGCCTATTTCTACAACACATAACCACCTTCTTAGTAGTTAATCCAATGTATAACTTAATGTCATAACATAAGTAAAGTGTTTCTGTTACTAGGAGTAGAATAATGATAACTTTATTATTGTCAACCGGATTTAAATATAGTGCTATGAACCATGGACTTAACAGGTCAAACGCATGTACAATTTAATGTCAATTAAATTACTTTATCTCAATTTCAAACTGTTTTTTTTTTCAAATATTTAATTAAATTTGCATAATACTGATTTGTTTCATGAATACAAATCGAGCTCATAAGAGCGATATAAGCATGGATGGTATAAGGTCATCAAAAGTTTTACAGTGTTCGGTCGCGCGCTTCGTATCCAGTCGTAGGTCACAACGTCAATTTTCGAAGGACATGTGATGTCGACAAATTGGCGCGTTATAAATCTGCAAGATATATGTATTAATATTGCACCATTATCAGGAACACCTAGCCGTGGAGTTCTTGAATCTTGAATTGTAAGAAATGTTGTAAGATTTTAATAGTATCGTTTATCCATCGTTTTCACACTGAGACGTGATGGTATGCATTGTTAAACAGCCGACTTTACGCATGTCTGCGTAGAGAGAGGAAAGAAAGAGAAATCGACGTGATTTGTGGAGATGAGATTTTACAGTGACTGCATTTATAGTTACTACATTTATTATTGCAAAAGGTAATATAATCATCATTATTATTGTCATTATCATCATTATAATAATTATCACCATTAGCTCTAGGCTCTATCTGCACCAACCTGATGTGTTTGGATTTTCAATATTTATAATACTATATTCGATATCTCATTGAATCTTAAGTATTTAAAATCCGTTTTATTTGTTTTGTTTGTTATTGATTTACGATTGGCATGTTGTTCAACGGTTCAAATAAAGACGTTCGGAAGACAAATTTGAGCAGCCATCGATCCCATATACAACACCAGCTCACGTCCTAGACGAGATTACCTAGGAATATTCAGTACAAACCTTTTGCACGTAGTTTTCTGTCAGTGAGTGCGTATCGCAATTACTATAAGCGCTGCAATAGAGCGCTAATTACAAAAAAAATCTTTGTATTCAATCGCTGTAGATAATTAAAAAAACAAAAATCGTGAACCAAATAAGAAATTCAGTGACATGTCAGAAGAGGGCCGCTTTAACATCATATATGTCCTTAAAATGGTTTTATCGGATTCAATCGACTGATTATTAGCGCGCACGGGGAAAAAATCAGACGATTCGTCAGTTTTTGCTATATTAAATTCTGAAATATGAATCTTCTAAGGGTAATTAACTCAACACAAGTTGATGGATTTTGTAATACTACATCTTCATTATTTATCGCCAATTCTTGGTAATTTTATGTGAAATTATATGACGTTGGTGACAACATCCTGGACTACCCCTACTGGTGGTAGTCTGATCTGGCCGGAAATTTTGCGCGTAAATTAATAAGCCTACATGATGGGTTTTGCGTAGGCCTAGATGTGAGATTATTGAACTGTAAAATATAATTTCAAGCATGAGGCATATTTAGGAGAGACTTGGTCCTGGGCCACTTTATTATAATATACAAACAAACGAACGCAAAAAAAAATAAAAAAAATAAAAAAAAAAAATACATAATAGGCTAGTATAGATAGAATAAATGTTGATTTAAAGTAGAAAAAATTATGATTGTTTAGTCCTATAGGCCTACGATGAACAAATTTTAACTCGTATTTCATATGTCCCGTGTTTTTACAACGATCACTGTAACGTGAGCTAAAAATAAATGCATAAATTAAAGCAGAGTGAGTAAGCTCGGAAGGCATCTAGTATAACGCATTAATTTTGCGAAGAACTTTGAGCTCACGACATTTACATTTCACATCCACCACTAAAATACCGTAGAAAAAATGCAACCGCAGTTTTCGAATCATTGCATGTTTAATAATTAGTTAACCTAACGATTGATTTGTAGAAAAGTTTGTTAAATTTTAATTGTTATTGTCGGTAATGTAGAAACAATGTATAAAAAAAATCGTTCGGTTATGATATTGGTTTATTACCTTGGTCTATGTTAAAATTCTGGTAAACTTCCACTGAAGGACACAATTAGGCCTATGTGGTTTAATAAAGTGATGACTGTATCCACTTTATGTAGGCATACATATTACATATAGGTTTATATACTGAACGTTAATATAATATAGCTGACAGGTAGGTTTAGGCATATATGTATATATATATATATATATATATATAGGCCTATATATGTTTATGTATATGTATTTTCATGTATCTTAGTCATTATGCAATTTCATCTGAAGAGTGTCACACTCTGTGTGTGGTAGGAAACTAAATAGTAATAAATGTCAAAACAAAACAATTG